CACCCCAACCCCCCACAAAAAATACCTACCAGCGCCTGGTGGGCAACGGAGGACCAAATCCGTCATTTCACAGTCAGGAGTCTATAGTATTGCATCTTAAAAATGAAAACCTGCTTCCACCTCCTGGGAGGTTTTATCCCTTCCTTGAATGCCTTCATGTGTTTGGTCAGGTCAAAATTTTGCAAAGCCAGAAAAAAATAAAAAATAAAAAATAAAAATAATCATCAGTCTCTTCCAATCCTAAAGATGTTGGATCTCTCTGTCCCGTGGTGCTGGTCTCCTGCCTCGAATCGACGCTGCCTGCCCTGCAGTGACTTCTCATTGGAAAAAAAAAACAACCAAAAAAACAACCAAGGTGTCCCAATGCTTCCTTTTTTGTATGGCTCCTACAAATCTGAAAGCTTTCTTGAGTGAGGTAACAAAAGTTAGGCTTTCAAGCAAAGTACATGGTACGTAAAGTGTCCTGATGAACCTGCACAGCCTTCGCCAAGGCCTGGGGATCTCTGCCGTTGCTCTGTCCAGATATATGGCTGCCCTCGCCACTGAAAATCAAGGAAATCACTGCGTAATTATTGTATATTCCAGCCCCCAGGAACGCTGAGAAAGAAACCCCCTCGGAGATCAGAGTCCGCGAGCGCTGGCAGCACAGGGACACATCTCACTGCAGTGCGTGCCCGTGACCGTGCCTGGCACTGCAGAAAGTCCAGCACTTCGAGGGGGCTGGTAACACCCCAACACCCCAGGGATGCTCCTCCAGACCTGGGATCAGCTCAGGACAGGATTTAACCCTCCTTCACCCCCGGTTCCCTCTACCTCGGAGATCAGAGTCCGCGAGCGCTGGCAGCACAGGGACACATCTCACTGCAGTGCGTGCCCGTGACCGTGCCTGGCACTGCAGAAAGTCCAGCACTTCGAGGGGGCTGGTAACACCCCAACACCCCAGGGATGCTCCTCCAGACCTGGGATCAGCTCAGGACAGGATTTAACCCTCCTTCACCCCCGGTTCCCTCTAGGCTGGGCCCTAAGAGGATGCAGCTACGTGTGGCTCCCCCCCGCCCCGCCAGAAAGGGTGTGCTGCCAGCGCTGCTCTGACACAGGCGTTTTCAAACACCAAGGCGGGGTGCTCACACCCCCTGCCCACCCCCGGGGCCAGCCCAGCTGTCCCTCCCGGGGTGCAGGCAGAGCCCCCCCACCTGTCGTGCTCCTTGTCCACGAGATGGTACCGCGCTCTGAACGCCACCAGTCGGGCGTAGTACGCCGGGGCCGGGATGGAGACGGAGCGGGTGCAGCGCACGTAGGTATGGCACAGCTGGTACGTGAGGATCTGCAGCTCATCCGCGGTGAACCGGTTGTCATCCCAGAGCACGTAGTAATGGGATGGCCGGCTCGTACCCTGGGAAGGAGAAGGGGCAGAGTGAGAGGTGCTGCCTCATATCCTCATCACCCCCTCCCTGATCAAACGACCCGGCCGACAGCCTGGGCAGGACCCGTGATTCCCTAATTTAAGAACCCCACAAGCACACAGGCACTGTGGGGCAGGAAAGTCCTCAGCACCGAGGTGGGAAACGTTAACACAGCTGCCCCGTGCCCAGGCACTGCTGGTGCTGCTGCACTGCTGCTCCTGACACCCCACAGCCCGCTGGCTCGCCTGTCACACTGTGCATCGCCTGTCACACTGGCTCCCCACCAAACTGCACCGGCTCCCCACCGAACCGCGCCAGCTCCCCGCTGTCCTTGCAGGGGGAGAGAAAGCCAAAACCCCTCCCTTGTGGAAGCAGCTGTAGATTAAATAAGCGCAATTTTTTTCAGCACAGTTTCTGACTAATCTTGGCTGCCTGAAGAAAGGCAGCTGCAAAGCAAGCCGCCTGCTCCAGGGACGCCTGGCCCCAGCTCTTCCACCCACGGCCAGACAACAGGTCCCTGCTGACAACCAGGCGCCCCAGCGAGCCCGGCACGCTCAGACACCAGCTGACAAGCTGCTGAATTGGCTGCTCTGAAGGAAGAAAATCTCAGAGGAGAGATCCTTGGCTCCAAGAGAGAAATCGAGTACGTGCCACATAACACAGCAGCAGTGCCACCCCAGCACCTGCTCGCCAAACAACCGCCACGGCAGAACTGCCCACGTCTCTGGTGCCGGAGGAAGGATTTGGCAGCAGCGGGTCAGATGTACGAGAGGGAAACCTGCAACCACAGCCAAAGAAAAGCAGCAGCATCACAACAGCCAGCTCTGCAGCACGGTACCTGAATGCCTGCATGACTGCACAGGTAGAAGTCGAACTCAAAGGGGTGGGTGATATTTGTATCCACTGTTGTTCCTGCCGGGATGTTCCCACTCTTCCCAATCTACAGGGAATAGAAAGAGAAAGATCCAAGCACTGCAGAGTTTGGTTATTTCCAGCTACCCAGAGCACTGTCTGTAACACACCTGCCCTGCATCAGGGCCACGGCACAGGGTCCCCATCTCAGCACCTCACTTGGAGAGCACCGTGCAGAGCCTCTCTGCAAGTGCCCGATAAGGGGGGCAGAAGCAGCTCATCCCGCTCTGCTCCTGCCTGAACAGGCTTCCTGGCATCTTCTGCCAGCATCAACACCAGGCGTGACATGGAGATAGAGCCAATGGCATCAGGAGGAAAGGGGGTAGGGTGAGGGCTGGGCACTGGCCCTTCCTACTGCAGAAATGAGGATGAAATGAACAAAACTCCAGGGATCTCTGCAGAGAGTGTACGCTAGAGCCCCTGTCACAAGGTACTGGGGCTTTTGCACCGTGATCAAAAACTGTTCTCAGTTCCCAAGATTAAATCTTCATGCTCAGGTAAAGCCAGAGTAAAATAAATTTAGAGCAAATCTAGGAAAAGCATCAGCAATCAATGTTACTAGACAGACACACGAACAAGCTGTGAGCAAGCAAGAGGTTATTCATCCTGTCACGTCAGCGGCTACAGCTATCACCAAAACAACAGATGTTTTCAAGCTGACAGAGGCTATTTCAAGAGAGTCACCAGGATCATCAGCACCCAGTAACTCATAATAACAGCAAACAGCTGTCTGGGTTTCTAGAAGCAGCTTAATCCACATGGATGTGGGAGTCAACCGAGCGGCACGTTTCATTCAAGAAAGAGCTCCCTGCCTGCCAGCGGCGAGCGTTCCCCTCGGCAAGGTCAGGGCTGGCTCTTCCCAAAGGCCAGGGATGAATCAGCCACCCCCTGCCCCGGCACCCCGCGGCGCTCACCCTCTCGTTCTTGTCTGCGCAGAAGAGTCGGGTGTGATGCCTTTTCTGGACAACGATGTAGGTGATGCCAGGCTGGTAATCCTTTTCCAGTTTGATGCAGGCATCTCTGATCGCCAGGAGCTCATAGTGAAGGATCTGGGGAGATAAGGGCAGGCAGAGTGAGGGGACAGGCTGGCACCCCGCTGTCCCCTGTGGGAACTCTGTGTGAGCTGGCACAGCCCCGCTGGGGATCTGAGGGGTCCTCACCTGCGGGAGCTGCCCCTCGGGAACGCCGTCGCGGTAGAAGATGATCCTGGTGGGTTTGAAGCGGGTGGATTTGTAGAACTGGATGAGGAGCTCCCTCACCATGTAGGACAAGTCCTCAATGATTTCCTGGCGAGGACGCTGCACGCGCACCGTGGCACAGTACCGGCTGGGGTGGGCGTCCATGCTGCCCACCACCTGCAGTGGCAGAGACGGGCCGTTACAGTGAGGACAGAGGGGACGAGGGACATGCCCGGTCTCTGCCTGCTTCCAACAGCCACAGCTGGCAGTGGGCCGAGCACCCCAAGCTCACAGACTGGGAGATGGGACAGCAAATACTGTGCAGGCAACAAGTGCCCAAAAAGGACATCCCTGGTTGTGGCCAGGTCCTGGTGTCACACTCTGCCACGTCCCTTGTGGTGTTCATGGGAATTTCCAGTGAGACAACTCGGCTGGTGGCACTGAGTGAGGTGGCTGTGGGGGCTGCTGCTGCTCTGCCCCCACTTCCCTCCTCCTGCTGCCCTTCCCACCTGCGTAAGCCTTTCTGCCTCCAGCCCTCACTCAGAGGTTTTTGGCTTCCACAAAGGACTGTGTGACCCCAAACCCTGCTCTGCTCTTTTGCTTAAGGCAAAGACACCCCCAGGGTACAAAACCCCAATCTGGGGTTGCTGAGTCCTGGGCTGCCCTGAGACCTTCTACCCAAAAGGTGACTGAACCAGGTCAACACTCACACAGAGCATCTGCCAGCACCACGTCCCTGCCCTCGCTCAGCCGCCGGCAGCCGAGCTGGCCCCAACCACCACGGTCTGTCCCGCCAGCACGGCCGCCCCCGAGGACACATGAGTCACTGCGGGGCAGGTGTCGAGCAGGGAGTTCCCATCACAGCCAGGAGCTCCCGATGAGAGACCTTAAAGATGTCAGAGCAAAGAGGCTGAGAGCAGCCATGCTCAGCTGTGACGCAGGGCTGGGGACACAGCATCAGTCACGGGTGTCACAGCAGGTGCTGGTCCATGCTGGGAGACAAATGCCTGGCTGCTTCGCTGCACCGTGTGCTCCACGTCCCCCCAAGCGGAGGGGAAGCACCCCACACCCCACATCCCCAGCAGCATCGAGGTCACTGCCCCCACCCTCAGCACTGGTTTCACTTTTGCTTCGTCAGTGGAGCTCCAGGGTCTGGGCTGCAGGTTTGGGTGCTCAACAGAAAAGTTTCCAGCCATGGACCCCCTTCTACTGTCTAACAACAGACCAAGGACAAGATCAAGGCCAACTGAAGGCTCAACCCTTCTCCCCTGCAGCTTCAAAAAAGCTTTTGTAAAAATTAAGGAAAAAAAAAAACCAACCCAAAACACAGTGGTCCTGTACCAAAAAATGCAGAAAATGTTTTTGCAGTGGAAGCGCCGCCGCCAGGAAACAGACTGTTCTGTCCCACCCACACCTACAGCAAACAGCCAAAAGCATTTCCCAACCCCTTCTAATTAAGAAAAAAAACACTCACCCAAAGATGCATTTGCATGCCAAGGAAAACCTGAGCTATGAGTCCTGGAAAGTTAAGAACTTAATAGGAAAATGCTGACGTGTTTAATTAGAACAGACGCTACGAGAACCTGACACTCTCCTTTGCCACAACGAGCACAAGGCAACGTCTGGCAGCCTCAGGAAGGGCACGAGCCGCCCCCCAGCCTCACCTGCATCCCAGCGGCACTTCACCAGATGGATGCTCCTTATTCATCTGGGGTGAAAGCAAATCCCCTCTCCAAACGGCTCAGGAGAAGCCCAGTCACCCCAGTTTCCCCCATCTCCAAAACCCCAGTTCTCCTGCCCGGGGAAGGCCCTCCCTGGAGCTGCACTGCAGGAGTGGGATGCCCGGGGATGACTCCAGGGAGGACAGAGGCCACCTCGATGTCCCTGCACACCCAGTCTGACAACGCAGGCAGGGGCCAGCACATCTCCAGCCCCATCTGCTGGCAGCTGCCGCTCTCCCAGCGGCTCCCCGGAACCCCAGCTCCTCTGCAGAGAGGCAGGAGGGGATGGGGGACCCAGTGCCCCAGGAGTGGGATCAAACACCCAACAGGGCATGGGGCCACCCTGAAAAATGTCACAGCCCCTTTATAGACACGAGTCCCGTTCCAGTTCCTGCATCGCTGAGGGCTCTCGGGCACCAAGCTTGGCTCTGGACAGGGAACTTACAGCCGTTATGGAGGGTTTCTTCCCATCTCCTGCTGGAGGGTGAGTGACATCAGCCCCGAGGAAGATCACCGGCTGCTGAAAGACGGCAGAGCTGGTGGGAGAGAGGAGAAAGCAGCAGTCAGTCTGTCAGAGCCATCTCAGGGTGATGCACAGCCCAAGGGAGGTGAGCAGACCACACAGAAGACATCTCCCGACCTCTGGGCTCTGGCCTGAGCACATCAACAGCTCATTACAAGGCGAGACAGGCTGCAAACCCCCATTTCAAACTGTGACCTTACACAGCCACCCGCCCACAGGTCCCCTCTTCCCTCCTACAACTTCATCTTCTACAACTACCTGAAGGGAGGGTGTAGCAAGGTGGTGTTAGTCTCTTTTCCCAAGTAAAAAGTGACAAGATAAGAGGAAATGGCCTCAAGTTGCACCAAGGGAGGTTCAGATTGGATCTGAGGAAGAATTTATTTCCTGAAAAGGTTGTCAGGCAGTGGATCAGGCTGCCCAGGGAAGTGGTTGAGTCCTCATCCCTGGAGGGATTTAGAAGACGAGATGTGGTGCGTAGGGACATGGCTTAGTGGGCGTGGTGGTGTTGGATTGACGTTGGACTTGATGATTTTAGAGTCTTTTCCAACCTTAACGATTTTGATTCTCCAGGTAACGCCAGGCAGGCGGCACCACGAGGGACTTGGGAAACAAGCCCAAAAAACCCGCGAGAGGCAGCAGCTGTACGAACCGCTGGTGAGGCACAAGGATGTTGTTGATCCCGCCAAGCTTGACGTTGATCTTGAGGCAGAGGTTGGAAAGGGTCTGTGGAGAGGTTTTCACCACGTTCTTGACCTGGACGCACTGCGTGGCCATTCCTAGCAGGGTGTCCCCAACACGCTTCACCTCGGCTGCGGGCAGAGGAAGCAGGTGAACAGTCAGACAGTCAGCCAGGCACCGCTGCCAACGGCACCCTTGGAAACGGGGAGAGAAATCACCACGGGAGGAACAGAGCCAGCCTGGCTGGGCAAGAGCAAAACCCCTCTCTCTTCCCCACTCACCCCTGCCCAGACTCACCATACACCGGTGTTTTCCCTGGCAGGATGACAATGATGAGCTGAAGCCCCGAATAGGTGTTCTTGAGGTGTCGAAACATGGGCTCCACACTGTCTGCACCCGTGGCGTATTTGCAGAAGCAGGCCTGGCCCTGGATGGGGATCCCCGCGTCTTTGGAGATCTTGCGCAGCTGATCTGTGAAGTTCCTGTGCCCGGGAGGAGAAGCATTCAGCCCTGAGCCCTTCTGCACCGCAGCTCTGCCACGCACCGCGGCCACCGGGCGAGAAGGGACCCGCGGCTGGAGCGCTGCAGCACGGGACAGAGACGGGGACGTCACATCACCACGTTTAAGGTTTTACAGCATCCAGCAAGCGCAGGGCACGGGAAATGCAAGATCAACATGTGTTAGAGCTGAACCATCACCTCTTCACACCCTCTTACCCCTCACTGACGCTTCCCCAAGTGATGGAGCAGTGAGCTGCTCCCCCATGGAAAGCTGGAGAAGGGGGGAGCTGCTTGATTTGCAAAGCTGATGCAAACCTTCACTTACCAAAGCAGACCAAGTGCGCTGCCACACTCTGGATTTTTGGATTGCCAAGGATAAATTTGATGCAGGAAGAGCCAGGGCTGAGCGTGGGGCTCCCAGCTCTGCCCCAAAGGGGCCACAAGAGGAGTGAGGTGTCACTGCCACCTCCACCCAGTCACTGCAGACGTAGAGACTTTGAGTTGCTCCAAACCATCCCAACCGTTAACCGTGCCAAACACGCACAAGAGGCACACAATTCTCGCCTTGATGCATCCAATCTGGGTCAGGAGAAACCAGAGTCTCCAGAAGAATCCAAAATCAAGGTGACTATTTCCCTAAATCAAATAACCCGTCCCCACTCTGTGTCACTTTGCTACCGAATCTGAGAATCTCTAAGCTACCAAAGCTTTTCAGAAAGCCTAAGACTTCTCTAATAAAATCTCATGGCAAGTTAGGATGTTTCCTACATGAATTCTATTATTTCAGAAAGGATATTGGGGAAACTTTTAATTAAATATCCCTCACAACCCCATCTCCCTGAGATTCAGCTGAGAAGAGTTCAATCCAGCTGCAGGGCTGGCAGCATCAGACCAGGACACTGCAGCAAAGAGCAGATGGAGGAGGAGAGCCTGCCTGTCAGCTCACAGGCGCTGGAGTGCCGATGTGCTCACCCCAACCTGGCAGGCTCTGCGATAGCTCAGGGACTGTTTGCAGCCAGGATAAACAGGCAGGCACTCCAGATAAACTAACAGAAACAAGACTGAGCACCCAGTCTGAACCCGGATCAAATCTGTACCACGAGCAATTCAGATCCAGCGTTAA